GAAGACCAAAATCTTCTAAAAAATCTACAAGTAAGACTTAAAGAAGTCTGTTAACATGTCTAAAATAGCACAGGATATGCAGATTTACATTTACAGGTTAGCAACTAAAATGTAATAAAACTATCACCCAGTAATGTGCCAGTAGTAAATATCCAAAATCAAAATCCTCTCCTTTTTCATACTAAAATAAAGATTGAATCATAAAGTTCTCATAGACTATAGGTGCCTTTTGAGGCTATCCCACTCATTCCAACTCAGGATGCAGAAAAATCAATTTGCTACCCAGACAAATTGCTCTACTACCACACAGGTACACTAATGTTTTCCCTTTTAATTTACAGAGACAAATTTCAGATGCTCAGCTTTCTGAGACAATGGTTATCTTCTAATCAAAACACTACTCTGTTGTGTGAAAGCTGACAGCATAACTATGCTATAAGAGATTAAAATAGATAATTATTTTAAAACAAATTTTGGGTTTGTTTGGGGTATTATTATTATTAATGATAATATTAATATTATTTGTTGGGTTGATTGGGTTTTTTTAGGAGGAATGGTTTCTAGGTATTTTCTTTCTGTATTTTCCATACCAGTTTACAGCAAAAGTGCTCTGAAAAACCTGGGAGTCTGTCATTCAATTTACCCTACTAATAGATAAAAAAGGTACAGCTTGGGGAATATAGCACATAAGCTTCATTTTGGTCTCCCAGACAACAGACATTCAGTCAGTTTTGTATTAAATTTTATCATAAGGGTTTTTCATATTCCTTGGTCTAAATTTATTCCCTACAGATATCAAATATTCTTACAATAAGTACAGATGAATAGTAAGAAATATTACAACAGGTTTGTGTTACCCTTAAAGAGTATTCCTCCACATCATCTGCAAAGGCAAGTTTTTCTACATAAAGCCTGTGAATCATTTCTGATTTTCAGGTGTTTCAGAATTAATCTGCAGAAACTCCATTCTACAAGATGCATAAAAATGGGGTAAAGTCTACAAACATGTTGTTCATTATGCAGTAACTCCTGAAATGCAAGTACTTAAAAGATATTTCATGATGTTTTGTCTAAGCATACAATGAAAATGGGAGAGGAAAGTGGCCCTATCTCGTAACCGCACATTAGCTCATCTCTTGCTGTGTATTCAGAAGCATATAATTGTTTAAGGCATTATCTTTCTTCTGCACAAAAGGAACTTGGTTACTAGCAGATTGTAATTCCTAAGCCAAAGTCAACACACTGTGAAAGTGTAAGAGGATTTGCAAATTTTAGCTATCTCATCCATTAGAAAACATAAAGATCAACTTGAGTATCTAGGCTGAAGCACAGCCACATTTGGAGTTGGTTACTTTGTTCAGAACTTCAGTACATCGAACACAGACATATAAATCTCAAGTAGTTTATAAGTACCACAATGGCTGACACTACAAAACTATTTATTTTTAAAATTATGGTAGTTTAACAGAACCAACCATGGAATTAAAAAAAAATTATTAATCTCAAAAAAAGTGTTTAATGGGGAAAATGTTAAAGCGGTTGTGAAGTACTTCTGGCCACTGGCAGTAAAGTTGACTATACATGTCTGTCTTCTTAAGAACTATTTTAATATTCTTGGCAAATATTTGCAGTTATTGTTAATAGGGTAGGAAACTTTGAGGTTGCCCAAATTCCAGACCAATATTTCTTAAACCAAAAGATGTATGGCTCCATGCTGTAATATATGAGATGAAAGCAAATTGTCTCACATTTAAGAATATGCAAACCATCTAGACAAGACTAGGTTGAAAACTACTTAATGGTGCACACAGGAAGTCTAGCACCTGACAGGTTTGCAATGCATACCATTCAGGATTTCGAGATATAGCAACTGACAGTAAAAAAACCAAAACCAAACTCCAAACAGTGACAACTTGAAATCCTGGACAGATTTATACTCCAATTCTGGATGGACAGAGTCCTGATAGGATTCTGATAGATAAAAATATTTCTTTCAGGTTTCCCTGGTTTCTTTCAGATTTTCTGTGTCATAAGAGCAATAAACTTTAAGATAGGAGAGAAGAAAAGGCATCTGAAAAGCGTTTTGCAGGGAAAACCCTCAGCTCCTTTCACTACTTAGGCTTACAGTGAGAATTCCAAGGCCAGAAAAGCAGAGAAAGGTAGAGAAAGCTTTCTGCAACAGTGATATTTAAAAAGCCATCTGCTAAGCAGTCTAGCACATCTTTTATGTCAGTAAATGAGTGTCAACAGATGTGCCTTTTTAACCAAAATATTTCCTAAACCCCAGTTTACTACACTATATTGACCAGCAATATCAAAAGGTGCCAGCAGAATTATGAAACCCAGGAGAGGCTAATCTAACAGCAAGCAAAAAAAGATCACCTACCTACAATTTCCTTTTCCAGGAGGTGTACCATAAAACAGCCCCTCTCTGTATCCTTTACACAGAACATGTTTTTTTCTATATTTTCCACTAGAAATGCCTCTGTCCTTAGAATTCTGAGGGTTGAAGGGGGTAGCACAGACACACACAACACTTATGCATTACTCCCCTCTGCTCTTTTGTGGATAAGTCTATCTTAACTTATGCTTCCATTGCAAGACTCCAGTCTTAGCCTGTTAGGTTTTTTGTGAGCTTGTTATGAGCTCAAAAATAGAGCTTGGTATGAGGTTTCTCATCTTACAAATTAGAGCTTAAGTGTGGGATAATAGCGAAGGTCCTGAAAATGCAGGCGTGGGACTATAAACAACTTGCTGTTGGTCCACTACTAATCCATTACTAACCACTGAAGGAATTTAAACTTTGAGAGCTGGGAAAAGACTGCTTCATGGAACAGGAACAGAAGGAGCTGCGCATGACAAACCCAGATGAGCAACAGAGTAAGGAACCTGGTGAGGCTTGGAAAATATCAGTCTCAGGCACTGCGTAGTAGTCCAGGAGGCAGATGACAAAGGCTAGGAACACTCCAGAAATACAAAACTTATGAAAAAGAAACATTTTCACTGCAGGTGGTACAGTCATCACAGGAAGCATCACCACAGGACTGCTGTGGGACTACCACAGCTAAGAGCATTCCGCTTACTGTCCTTGCCTCTTGAAGGACTCTTTTACTCCCTCCCTGCTCTAACAGCCCCAGCTTTACCTCTCTTCCACCTGCCTCATTCTTTGGGGATTAGCTGGCAGTTGGTGGCTTTTGTAATCAAGGGATGTCATTCAAGAAAGCAGGGACCACTTGTAAGAGTATTGGTTTGGGTACACCTGCCTAAAAACTAAAAAAACAGTCCTCTTCTCTTAGGAAGCAAGTCCAGAGCATTACCAAAAAGGATTACTGTAAGAAAAGGGACAAATGTAACTTCGCAAGGAACACAAGTGGCAAGACAGAAATACTTCATATTAGAAGTAAGAAGAAAGGAAACATAAGATCTTAATGGGAAAGAAGAATAAGAAACATGCTCTACAGAAGACTGAAATACTCAGTTCATTTTATCTACTCTCTTCATAAAACCTTTTGGCATCTGATCACAAACTGATACGTATAACGGCCTGAAGGTAAGTTAAATTTACTGTATCCTTAGAGAGCTAAATGAACAATCCATGAATTAGCAGTGATCATTTTTGCAGACTGATTATCTTGGAGGTTAGAGAATACCAGAAGGCTGTAATGGGGAAAAGTGAAAATACTTTTTTGAAAAGGACACAAAGGATGATAGAGGGAATCTATGTATCAGTGAAACTTACATTCCTACCTAGGTACTAGAACAAATTATTAAAAGGACAACTTATAAATATCTAGAAGACATGAAAGCTGTAAAGCAAGAGCTAACAAATTTGCTAAGCACATGCTTCTGTCAACACAACACAATTTGCTCCAACTGAACAGCTTGCCTAATGGTTGCAGCAATAGCTATACTAACTCAACTGTAGTAAAGCTTATAAAAATGTTTTCGTGCTGTTCCATACTACATTTCCATTAGCAACCCATGAAAAATTAATTATATGAGGGCGATGAGGTTCAAAACTAAAAGTCAGTGTCCATATTAACATTTTCTTATCGAGGTGAAAAAGTGGTCATAATTCATTTAATTGATATCTTAGAAAACAGAACAGAATATAACCATAGGGAATTTGCAAAGGCCAAGTCAAAACCACTTTGTAAGTCAAAAATTAGAAGTCAGCATCACCTTAGTAATTAGAGAAATGGTTTAAAAAATCAACAACACATAAAAGTGAAAAATAATGTAAGAAATCAAACAGAAATACGAAAGGGGAAAAGAAAAACTAGGCAGAAATACAGTGGGAACAAATCTGGCAATTATAATTATTGCAAACTAAATATGTATCAACCCTATATATTGTAGGGGAAAAAAAAAGCATTTTCAAACTGCATCTGTCTAATAAGATATTAACTGTTCCTATAAAATTTGCCATGTTATCTTTGGAAGATAAAACACTTAAGGACAAAATTTTCCCAAATACATCCTTACACACCTGGAAAGTGCATACTGACCATAGGAAACAACACACATTTTTCTTGAGAAATCTATTTAGTTGCCTGTAGTATCCCTGTTAGTTCCTACCTCTATGTAAATTACATTTAAATACTAAACTACTGTTTTGAAAATTTGTCCTTGGATGTTCGTAAGAAAATAGTTTGAAATAAAATGCTATTTAACATTTTCCTCAGCTATAACTGTTCCAGTATAGTATTTCATCATTTAGTATTTTAATATACTACTTCTGTATTTCCACTTTCAGTTTTTTAATGTATACTTCAGGTTCCTATTTCTCACATTTTCTATCAAGTTTTAAAAGTTGTAGTACATAAGATCAGGAAGCACTCCTTAGGTGTTCAGATAAACAACTTGTTGACATCAAAATCCAAACTTGAAATTAATATATCAGATACTAATTAGCATAACAGAAATTTACCGTAGTAGACTCTTGTCAAACCAAGGTGTATCAATTGATACATAGCAGCACATAATCCTGTCAGTCTTACCATTAATTACTGGGGTGTAAACAACAATTCCAACCAAATTAGGGTCAGATACAGTTGTGTCCAGAATAAGGCCACCAATACTGAAAAACAAAATACAATATTTAGAATAAGGCAAGCAGGCACATTAATCTTTAAAAAGTTTTTTAGTAATCTACTTTAGAACACCTTCAAGCTACAATTTTCTTCTCAGTTCAGCTTTCCCTGCCCCATTACCTCATTCTCAGCTACAGACTAACATTGCTATTGTTAGTTATATTTTAAAATCAACTTCTTGTATACCAAAGACCATAGAATTTCAGCCAATTACTCCATTTTTAAGATTAATAATTTTCACTGGATTACATAATCTCTTAGGCTGGTGTATAATCTTGATTATACAAAATTTCCAAATTGATTGGAAATGGCAGGAGATGAATAGCTCACCATTTCCTTCATGTGATACAGCACACTTCTGCTAAGTTATCGCCACAGGCT